TCTGCATAATTTGCATGTGTTAAGTTATATACCTTAATGCCATATGCATTTGTAGCTTTTCAGCATTATTTTTTTATATGGTCAAAGCCTGATTTGGTTAGAAACTAGTTTACATGTTGCTCTAGAGTTGAGAGAAGGCAAATCATTTAATAATTCTTGGAGAGTGGCAACCTGATTCCAACATATAAGATTGGATAGCCAGTTATTAACATTCTTCTATAAAATAAGTGAGTTACAAAAGCTTGAGTTGTTTCGCCATAAGGAAGTGCTGATTGTCATGCGACGTGGAGCGTCATTTTTATTATTTTGGCAAGAACAGGGACAGTTTTGTCTTGACAAGCCATTAGATGAATACCAGTGTGTGTCACATGAAAAACCACTGATCTTTAACCCAGCTCTGTAGTTAACCAAGCCTTGAAAATGAATAGTGAATAAAAGAAGAGCAAAGGCCAGTTTACTGTCATTACAGATTATAGAATCTGTTAACAGTTGCTGAGCTGAACCCAGGGAATTACAGGTATTGTTCTGTGAACCAGCAGAAATCCTAGAGTTGCTTGTTAAATTATATACATAAACTATGTGTTCATTTTATATTTGCTTAGGATTTACATTGTTGGAACCAGTACTTGAGTACTTTCTCAGTGCAGTAAATGTGCACCTTTATCACAAAGCCATCTATATTTACATATAACTCAGTGAGGTTTCTGTCCCCAGTTACAGAGCTTATTTTAAGAAAGCAATATACTTTCAAAGAAATTACTAAGTATTAAGAAGCAAAGAAAAACTATGTAATAAACTACCTCCCCCTAAAGAAAACACACACCACGAATATACATGTAAAACACAATTATTTGCTCACTTGCTTCTTCAGGTATTAGTTGTGGCTGATTTTTGCACCAATGTGTGATTTTTTTTTTTTTTTTTTTAGAAAATGCAGGAAAAAACCCCAAACCCATCTCAATACCGAAACATTGAAAAGATCAGTAACATTTTAAACAGTTGGTTGTGGGAATTATTGCTTACAGAGCTAACAAGAAAGACCACAGTTTCTTACTCTGCTGGTGGAATTGCATTGTGCCTCCCTATAGTCCTGTTATCCCACACTAACTGAAATGCAAATTCTTTGTAACTAATTGGATCTCATTGAGGGTACATGCACAGTGTGTAGTTATATGCAAAAAGGTTTCAAAAAGTAAGATTTTCCTGTAATTACAACTTTTAATTACTGTCCAAAACATCGATATCTATAGTACGGGTGTAGAGTATATATGTCTGACTCTTTTTTAGAGGTTATTCAAAAATATGAGCTATGAAATTCATAATAAGATGTCAATTCAAAAGTTACAGGGAAGATGTTTAATTACAGCAATCTGTAAATTGGATTTTATTATAGTCCTGTGAAGATACGTTTTTTTCTTTTTTTTAAGCTTAGGATTAGTGTTTTAGAGCCAGTCGACTAAAGGCATGTAAATGGTGCAATCTTTTTCTTGGAACATTTTAAATGTTAAAACATCATCAACATCAGAAATCACTTCCAAAGGCGGTTGTCTTTTTTTTTTCAACCTTCAGTTCTCCAATCTATTTTGCTATTGGAAAATGCTTTCGAGTTTCTTAATTTTGTGTATTTTTGCTACATGTTGTGGTGAGGGGGACGTATTCACATTCTCACAATGTCTTTAATAACTTGGGTGCCAGTAGACCTAGTTTGGTAAACTTCATAATTTCCGTGGTCCACCTCTGTCAGTAAATGTGGGAAAGACAACACATACCCTTTAAGTGCCTGTGATTCTTTCACCTGAAATACTCAGAATCAGCAGCAAAATGCAATTATTGTGGGAGTGACACCTGTCCCCACCCCACCTAGTTTTAAACAACTTCTATTCAAAGAATTCCAGAATTACTCCATAATCTTCAAACTACGTAGTCAGTGGAAAAACTCAGAAGACGTCTTTGTGCCTTGAATAGGTGTATTTTTTTGTACCAGTGTCTTTAAAACAAGACAGCTGACTTATGTGCTAGATAGAAAATGATCGAAAGATCAAAGGTCTAAACACTGTTATATGTGGAATTACGTGGCAAGTTTCAGATCATGTATTTTGGCGATTTCTAGGGGAGTCAAATTTGTCTTCTCAGAAATTAATTTTAAAATGAGGGTTAGGAACTTAAAATCTGCAAAACACAGTATAGATGTGAGGTTTTTGTTTTCTTTTACTTATTTATTATTACACCTTTGGATTCATTTCCCCTTATTGTAACAAAGCTTTTCCTTTTTCTAAACTAGTTTCAAAGACTAGTTAAGATCTAGTTTGACCAAATTTATTTAGCAGGTGGCAGTATCTTATGGTATATTTGTTGTGAAAAAAATTTTTTGTAAACCTTAGAGAGATGACCTGGTGTCGTTATGGGTTGTGCTGTGGCAATAATGTGTAGGTAATAGTTGTATTGCTTAACTGTTTCATTTCAGCTAGAGCAACCTCGGACCTTGATATCTGAAAGCTCAGTTTGCCTGTACTGGGTAGCATTTTGTCAGAAGACTGCTGGCTGGGCAGACCAGATTTGGATGTATTAGCTAGTCAGCCTAATAACCCTGTACAGACTGTATTGATTTTCGAGGAGAGAGTTTATGAACTAAATAAACTTAGGGTTGGTGTCTTAATAAACTGCTTCTCTCAGTCTGTCACATTTAGTTATGGAGCTGTGCAGTTTAGGGGGAAAAAAGGCTAATTCTGTTACAGATTGTTCACAGCAGGGTCTCCAAATTAGCCCTTTGTTTTGTAATGCCACCTTGCTTGGGCTCGCTTTGAGCACATTTCTCAGTTTTGCCCTAATGAGTTGCAACACTGATAATGTGGCTGATGATCTTTCATTGATTTCACTATCACTTGCTTGTCTGGTAATTGATCCGTTGCTGAGCCTCTAGTTAATTATATCGGCTTTGACATGGCCCGGTCCACGGGGAATTTCAAGTCTTGCAGAATAACAGTTTTAATAAAAGAGTCTATTACTGCAGGTGCTTGCTGCTGCATGCCAGTTGGTTTTTGTGTTGTTAGTATGTGTGTGTGTGTGTGTATGTGTGTGTGTGTGTGTGTGTGTGTCGGGGGGAGGGGGACGTGGGGTAGGATACCTGGGAAAGAAGTGGACTGCAGGACTGAGAAAAAAGGGGCGGGGGCTCGAAAAAGAGGGAGTGAAGGAGAGGGAGGAAGGAGGGGGAGAGAGACAAGCAGAGAGGGAGAGAGAGAGAGTCGAGAGAGAGAACAGGCAGGCAGAGCGATACAGCCGAGCCTGAGTGGAACAAGGAGGAAGCTTGCTATTGACAGTGTCCTTAAGCCTCCCACAAATAACAGCCATTAGTGGGAAGGTCAGGAGCTGAGCAGGCAGCTTGACTGAGGCACTGAGTGCCACTTCAGAAATCAAGAGGCTAGCAAATTTTAGAGGGAGTTTAAGTGGGTAATAGCTAGCAGTAAAGGTACAGTCACCGTTGACAATTGACTCATAGGGGCTTTCCCCGCCCTCCCCCCTCAAGAATATTTTTATTGACCACAGGTGGACTTAATATATTTTAAGGCAACAATTCTTTGGGTTCTTGTTTGTTTCCTCTCGGATATTGAATTTGCTTCTTTTGAGACTTTTTTTGTGCTTAATGGTGGTGAACTGGAGGGAAGTTTAACAGAAAAGCTTTCAGGAGATGTCGGTTCTAGAGGAGAAGGCACATTTGTGTCAACATAGTGTACGTTTTCTCATCTTTTCTCATTGTCCACTAATGACACCGAGCTGCCATTGAAGCTCTTTTCTGTTTCTTTTGTTGTTTTGGAGAGGAAGGTTTATTGTTATTCTTGAGTTAAGAAGGAGCAAGGAGAGTGGTACATTTGTCCTCGATATTTGTAGGTGGTTGAAGATTAATGTTCCTTACATTTTAAGTTTAGGAAGGATGGCTTTTTCCTGCTGACTACTTTTATGAGATGGCATGAATTTAGCTTTCCATTTTGAAGTTGCTGTTTATGTACAGTGCATTTTGTTCAGTTCTGCCTTTCCATAAATAAGGTAGATAAATACTATCTAATAAATAGGCGTTTTGTTTTAAAACTGGTTTAATTAAAAGTACGACATGCTATCAAGGCTATATTTCATCATGCAGGAAAACGTTATAGAATTTTCCATAGAGGTCTTGAATGAAAAATGGAGTTTTTATATTCATTACTTTTTGCTTGAAATGGGACAGGATTTTTTTCATCTCTTTCTTTTTTTTTTTATGGTTTGGAAGGATATTGCAGATGCTTCATCCAGGAACTTTAACAAAGGAATTTTTTTTCTTCTTTTGAGCATTAATACAAGGTATACTCTTTTTCCTTTTCCATTCAGTTTCTCATTACTTAACATCCAGGTTAGTAATTAATAGCCTGAGGTATTGCATATTAAATAGTCTGTATTTTGCAAATGTTTATTGTGCCTCTTCTATGTTATGAAAACTGCTAGGTTTATTTATTTACTCTTTTGAGTATAAGGTCACATCTCTATGTATATTATGTTGTCTGGGAGTTTCTATGTGGTTATAAATAGCCCAGCACATACTACATGACTTTTAGGAGCTAACATTTAGGCTACAACTGAGCCACGTTACATTCTCTTACAGCTGAATATTTTACTTTCTTCCAGTGTAATTAAAAATACATATATTTAAGTATCGCCGTTTTGCACATGTTAAAGCAAAGACTGGTGTCAGATAGGGCATGTCATATCAGAAAGCATTGTTGGGAAAAATTCCTGGGGAAGGGCCCTAGCTTCTCCTCACCCTGTGCACTGCCACCGTGGTGCTTCCGGGAGTGTGTGTGCAAGTGTGTATCTCTCTGTGTATCTGGAGAAGGGTTAGTGCGGGGTGTCATTCAGTGCCTGACAGTGGAACAGTGTGGTTGACTCTTAGCCCTGCTATCCAATGACATGCGGTGGCTGAGAGTTTGAAGCTGATGGTTGGGTCTCCAGTGCTGCCTGCACACCTGACAGGCAGCTGTTAAACTGAGCAAAGGCAAGCTTGGGGAGTCACAGTCTATGCATACATGATAGGGATATCTGTGCAGAAGGTGCGAAAGAAGCTCTGACCCCCCTCTCTCCCCCAAATCTCCCCCTTCCCAAATGAAATGCACAGTTCGGCCAGCTTCTTAACTACACTATACTCCTGCTACTGGCTGCCAAGAGGCTCAAAAAATCCACCTTCACTTTTCAGTCAGAAGAGGCAGAAGTGGATGTGAGAGAAAGAGAGACACAGAGAGACAGAGAGCCAAAGAGGGCAAGAGACTTGACTTTAAGAGACTCCTGTACTGACAACTCCATGCAGTTCGGAACCAGAACGACTACGGCTGAACCAGGGTTCATGGGGACATGGCAAAACGCTGACACTAACCTCTTATTCAGAATGTCCCAACAGGTAAGTTACTTTCTTTTTTTTTTTTTTTTTTTTTTTAAAGAAACCTCGAATTGTTACGTGCACTTTTGTTTCTGGTGTTTTCCTTTCTAAATTCTTTTTTTTTTTTTTTTTAATGTGATCATTCTCTAGTTAGGCTCTGTTTTGTCGTAACTGTTGCTGGAATGTACAGGGTGACTTCGTGGTTTCCCCACGGGCGTCTTGAAAGAAAAAGGGGGAAAGGGCACGGGAGTGCAGAGAAAGCAAAGGCGCTGGTTGCAAAGTTTCAGGCTCAGCCCGGGCCGTGGGAAGGCCGGATTTCTTTCTGCCTTCTGCCCGAAGCAAGCAAAACCAAACCAGAGCCCCCAGCAGACGGCCGTCTGTTTCTGCCCCGCCGTCGGCATCCTGGGCCCAAGCCTCTGCTCCCTGGGCGCGGGGCTCCTGCCGCCCGAGTCCCGAGATCCGGGGGCCCCTCCGCACGGCCCGCCGGCCTCGCGCGGCCGGAGC